GATTTTTATATTATTCATAAAATGGTGCATAGTTGGAAAAAAAATGTCCACGATTTACTGTATGTATTATATTCAGTTCATATAGGCACCATTTAACGTAGGGGGAGGAACCTCACTCTGTTGATGTTTTGCCTTCAAAAGCTGTGAGGAAGAGCAGGGAAACTGTAGCCTCCATCCCTTAATAAAGCTCTACTGAAAACAAGCAGTGTTGACTTGTTTGCCTCCAAGTTCTAGTAGTATGAAAAAAAAAGAAGAACAAACAAATATTCAAGTGCATTAGAGCACATTTTCAAGGGACACTTATGATCAACAAACACATATGCATTATTGTATTAAATTAATTACTGCGTACAGGCTGTTTTTAAATGGAGGCCAGACTTCATTAAGGAGAACAAATTAGATTATCCTTAACAGCGTTAAACCTGATCCTCATGTCAGAGTGGGAAATATGTTTGTCCATGTTATTGATGAGCTATGCATTGGATTATCTTGAGCTGTGATAAGCTTGTGCCGGTTATTTAAAATGATATGGGCCGACAGATTTTGGGAAGTATGTGTTATCAGTCATACATGGAGGACAGGAATTGTCTGAGGCCTGAAGAAGCAGAAATGATTCCCAACAAGGAAGAAAAGCAAACAGCAAGTTTAACTGAAGCATAATTTAGATAATTTTCAGCAAGTCAAATTGAACATTTTAACATCAGAAACTTTTTACAGGTGCCAAAGTAGCTTTGAGTGTCATTTTTGAATGGTTATGTATTCCTGCAACGGACAGAGTAAAGACAGATTATCCCAAATTTATATCTACCCCAGCAAATATCCATCAGTGAGACTACTTCTAATGTCAATCTGGATCATGATGCAGCTTTAGGAAAGATCTACTTTGGGAATATAGTGTGCTTTAATATTTAGTATTATGCTTCAGTCGTTCCAGTTTAATGTTATCTTTTGTATTCTTTGTTAATCTTGTACATTTGAATAGCTGTAATAATAATTTGGGGATATATATTAATTCCTATCTGAACTTATAGCAATGGCTGAAATCTTAATCTGAACTTCTGTTGATCTTACCTCTGCTATACGCTACTAAAGACAGAACTGAAAAATTTATAGATTTTTTTTTTTTTTGCCATGTTTATATATTTTCTCAGTTTGAATAGATCTTTAAGTGAAGTTAAGTGCTGTAACTGCTTTGAAAAAAATCTGTTTTTATCTTATTCAGTGTCCTTTTCTTTCTTATTCCATTTAACATAAATAATTTTTTAAAGTTTTGTCTTTTTCCTGCAAGTTAGTTAATCCGTTTTTTGCTAGAATGTGTTTAATTTAGACGTTTTAAGATGCCTATCTTTTGAGAAAGATGTGTTTATTGTTTGAAGAAAGCAAGCAAAATCTAAAAGGATGAAGCACAGCTCAGAAGTTACCCCAAGGATCTGACAACAGTATTGATTTCCTCAGGCAGTGAAAAAGACATTTTGACTGATACTTGAGTTTAAACAATAACACCTAATATTCAGAAATAACAGTTTTTCAATTTCTTTAGGTTGATTAACTTTGTATAGACAGTAAAATGTAACTGCATTTAATAGCATATTATAAAACAATTGCCAGTAAATGTTATTGAAAAAATCATGTATTTATGGAGCAAAATTTATACTTTGCCTTTAAAAATGGTATTTCTGACATTTGTTTTCCTTACATATCACTCAAAAGTCACTCTTAGATGATTGTTCAAACATTACCTTTTCAAATACATTTTCTTCTCCTCTGAAGGGGAAAAGTTATGTTGAAATAATTTTGGTATTTCATTTCAAACAACTATTTCCTTTAGAAGTAAAGGCCATAACCTTGTGAAGCATCCAATGTTTGCTAGTTTTTCAAATCAAACATATTTCCATGTCTGAACCTTCGGGTAGTTTCTGTTTGTCCTCGTTAGTAATCACTTCCTTTGAAAAATTTTAAACATTTCTTTATACTCTGTTTTCCTGAGTACTTTTAAAGTTATATCTGTTCTACTGCTGGATACTGTTGATACGGCAAACTCCTTGTTTTTTTTGGTTTATTTTGCTTTGTTTTTGTTATTTTCTCTCAAAAATAGTTGTTTTCAGATCCAGATATTATAGGAGAACAAAGATAAATTCAATTATCAACTATTATGATAGTTTGATAGTGTATGGTGTTGTAACCACTTCAAGCTAAACCACAATGATTCACTTGCTTAAAACAGACTAAAGGGGAGACAATGTGTCAGAAAGGTCAAGTTATATTAGTAACGAATGTCTTCGAATAAATCAAATGAATATGTTTAATTCTTTTCAACTCTAAGCATAGGTGGATTAATGACCGGGCCTACCGGGCCCAGGCCCAGGGGGCCAGAGGCCCCAAGGGGCCAGGCCAACTTGGCCCCGCGGCCGCGACCCAAGCAAAACTACTTTTGCAAAAATAATAATCTTAGGCCCCAAGGGGCCAGGCCAACTTGGCCCCGCGGCCACGATCCATAGAGGGTAAGAGGCCCCAGGGGGCCATGATCCATCGAGAGTAAGAGGCCCCAAGGGGCCAGGTCAACTTGGCCCCGCGGCCACGACCCACAGAGGGCCTGAGGTCCTAAGGGGTCAGACCAACTTGGCCCCGCGGCCATGATCCATAGAGGGTAAGAGGCCCCAAGGGGTCAGGCCAACATGGCCCCGCGGCCATGATCCATAGACGGTCAGAGGCCCCCAGGGGCCAGGCCAACTTGGCCCCGCGGCCACGATCCATAGACGGTCAGAAGCCCCAAGGGGCCAGGCCAACTTGGCCCCGCGGCCACGATCCATAGAGGGTCAGAGGCCCCAGGGGGCCAGGTCAACTTGGCCCTGCGGCCACGATCCATAGACGGTCAGAGGCCCCAAGGGGCCAGGCCAACTTGGCCCTGCGGCCACGATCCATAGACGGTCAGAGGCCCCAAGGAGCCAAGCCAACTTGGCCCCGCGGCCACGATCCATAGAGGGTCAGATGCCCCAGGGGGCCAGGTCAACTTGGCCCCGTGGCCACGATCCATAGACGGTCAGAGGCCCCAAGGGGCCAGGCCAACTTGGCCCCGCGGCCACGACCCACAGAAGGCCAGAGGCCCCAAAGGGCCAGGCCAACTTGGCCCCGCGGCCGCAAGCCATAGAAGGCCAGAGGCCCCAAGGGGCCAGGTCAACTTGGCCCCGCGGCCACGATCCATAGAGGGTAAGAGGCCCCAAGGGGCAAGGTCAACTTGGCCCCGCGGCCGTGACCCACAGAGGGCCTGAGGTCCTAAGGGGTCAGGCCAACTTGGCCCCGCGGCCATAATCCATAGAGGGCCAGAGGCCCGAGGGGTCAGGCCAACTTGGCCCCGATCCATAGAGGGTCAGAGGCCCCAAGGGGCCAGGCCAACTTGGCCCCGCGGCCACGACCCACAGAGGCCCCAAGGGGCCAGGCAAAATTGGCCCCGCGGCCATGATCCACAGAGGGCCAGAGGCTCTCAATCATTATTATCAAAGCTAATTCTCAAATTGGATGTATCACACAACCTCACTCACATATTCTTTATCAATTATTAAAGGTTGTTTCTGAATTTTGATCACAGAACTTAATGGAAATATTCTTGATTGATTGACAAAGCTCATTCTCAAATTTTGATTACACAACCTTACTCTGACAAATTATCATTATCAAAAAGCTCTATCTCGAATTTGGATCACAGAATCTCACTCAAGTATTCTTAGCTGTGCCCCTCCCCCATCGAGTCTTTCATAAACCGGTCTGTTCTTTTAGAATCTCCTCATTTGGTATTTTGAACTCGTGAGAGACTGCTCAAAATTTGGTTTCCTTTCCCTCAGTTCAGACTCAGAGATAATTTGAAATCATTCAACAAGAAGTTTAACGCTCGCATACACACACACACACACACACACACTTGAGTTGAGCATTACTTGGAAATTCTTATATTTTCCATTTTGCTGTTACTATCAGCATCTTCCCATTTTGTCCTTTTCTTTTGAAAAAGTTTAGAGTCTGACATTTGTCACTGCTGTCAGTTAATAACTTTTTGGTCTTTGACCCATTTTGTCATTTTCTCGATTCGATCGTCACTGACCACTCTCTCCTGTCTGGCAGACATCGTTGCTGCCATCATAGCTAGCAAGCTGCCTGCAGATAGCAACATTTTGGTGTCCTTTGTGAAAATATTTAGATAGAAGACAAAAGTGCACAAAGTTGTACAATTATTATCTTTTCAAAATATTTGTTTCACTGTCAGTGTGATTGACCGACTTTGCCGCTAGATTTCGTGTCTTTTGGCCATACCTGGCTAGCGACTAAAAACATCATTTAGCGACTTTTTGGTTGTGAAGATAAGTGGTAAAAGCAGATCTGCCTGTTGGTCTTCCCACATTTTGCCATTTGGTACTTTGCACTCTTGTTGGTCACTCCAAGGCATTTGTCCCTGCCTTCAGCTAGTCACTTGGCTCTTTTGGAATATATTTCACTGTAATTGGCTCTCTCTCTCTTTCTCTTCAGTACAAATCAGTCTGTTCCCTTGCCATTTAGACATTTTCTTGATTCGATCATCACCGACCACTCTGCTCTCCTGCTGTCTATCAGACGAATAAGTTGATTCTCTGCTCTCAATTGTCTATGCTAGTAAGCTGTTATTCTCTGCTTTGAAATGTTGATGCTGGGTTGCTAGTTTTCTAAATCACCTCACACACTTGAAGGAAGCAGCACCGATCATAAACACACAAACAAACTCACACACACACACACACACACACACACACACACATAGTTGGTTTATCTGTTGTGATAGGCAAAGAGCCAATGTGCAAAGAAAGAAGGGAAATATGGATCATAAACGTTTAAGTGGAGGAGCTAGAAAAAAAATTCAGCAAGAAAAGAAAAAAAGGAATCAGTTTTACTTGAGAGTGTTCCAAATATCTCCAGCTTCTTCAGTACAAAGACATCTGCTGAAAGCAATTCTATAAATGCTACTGCAAATTCAGCTAAGGTTAGCAATGCACCTGAGCTAGCATGTAGCTCCCAAGATCCTGAGACCACTACAAGTGTAGACACTGAACCAAATGCTTCTGATGCTTATGATTCAACCAATTCAGCAGTAGCCAGTTGCTTGGATGAATGTGAGGTCACTGCACCTCTGGACAGCATAGAAAATGAGCTGAATCTTTCTTCAACACCATCTACAGTGACAACTCTACCTAGTGATCCCGCTAAATGGGCTGAGACCCTCACTGAGTCAATGAAGGAAGTTCTTATTCAAAGAGGTGCAAAATCATTTCACAACCGTCACAGCCATTATCCAGCTTCTGTGAGGAACAGTGGGCTAGGAGGCAAAACCCGATGCCTAAACAATGAACATTTTACTTCACACTTGCCCAATGGACGAGTACAAAGAGAGTGGCTGATGTACTCTCCCTCTACTGGTAATGTTTACTGCTTTGCATGCAAACTGTTTTCCCCAAAAACGCATTCTTTTGTGACAGGCTATTGTGATTGGAAACACTCAGAAAGATTTGGTGAACATGAGCAAAGTGCTGAGCACATAACCTGCATGCAAGCAGTCTTGAACCGCGCCAAAGGTGCCACAGTTGATGCAGACCTGTTCAAACAGTTTCAGGCAGAGAGCAGCTATTGGAGGCAGGTGTTACAAAGAGTTGTTGCAGTCATTAAATTCCTTGCAGAAAGGGGCCTTGCATTTAGGGGTAAAAATGAATCGTTAGGGTCTCCTCTCAATGGGAACTACCTTGGTATTCTGGAGGTCCTGGCTGAATTTGATCCCTTTCTAAAGGATGACATCAGAAAGTTTGGGCAGATGGGTCGAGGTAATACCTCATATCTGTCCTCCACCATTTGTGAGGAATTCATTGAATTGATGGGTGCAAAAACCAAACAGGCTATAGCAGATGAACTGCAAGCAAGCAAATACTACTCTATCATTGTGGATTCAACCCCAGATTTATCTCATGTGGACCAATTGACATTCATATTCCGTTTTGTTAGCAAAGAGGGCAGTGTTGTCTGTACTAGCCATACAGGTGAAAGTTTGGCTAACTGTGTCATGTCTGTGTTGGAAAATCTAGGGTTAGAGCTGTCAAATTGCAGGGGGCAGGCTTATGATAATGCCAGCAACATGTCAGGGAGGTATAATGGGTTGCAGGCTCACTTAAAGAAAAACAACCCATTAATACACTATATTCCATGTGCAGCTCACTCTTTGAATTTGGTGGGAGTCAACAGCATTGACAGATGTGGAAATGAAGTCTCTAAGTATTTTGACTTGATTCAGTCTATTTACAACTTCACAACTGCATCCACACACCGATGGGACAGGGTATTTGGCAATTCCAACATAGATCTCACACTTAAAGCTTTATCCAACACGCGTTGGAGTTGCCGTGCAGAATCTACCAAAGCACTGTGGCAGAACTACAGTAAAATAAAAGCAGCACTACAGGTTATTTCCACTGATGACACAGAGAAACGAGACACACGAACTGAAGCTGACAGTCTAGTGCGGAAGCTGGATTCACTTGAGATGGCCTTTAATGGCAGGCTTTTGGGACACTGTTCTGTCCAGATTTCAGGCCACAAGTCTGCAACTTCAAAAAGCAGACATGGACCTTGGTACAGCAGTTAGATTGCTGGAATCTCTGCGCACCTTTGTTCTCTCCCAAAGAGATCTATTTGATCATTTTGAGCAGAAAGCCTTAAACATGTTGGGTGGCACCCCATCTTACAGGGCTGAACGGACGAGGAAACGTAAAAAGTTTGCTGATGAATCAGCATCCCCAGATGTTGTGCTTGAGGGAAGGCAACTGTTTCAAATAGAGACATTTATTGCCTCTATTGATCAACTGAGTTCAAGCCTTAATCACCGTCTGGAGGCCTACAAACATCTGAACAATTTGTTCAGTGTCCTTTTCTCTTTGGATACAGAGTCCAATGCTTCAGTCCTTCACAAGGCCAAGATTCTCACTGAATCATACCCATCTGACCTCAATGAAAGTCTTGGACAGGAGCTTATACAGTTCAAATCTTTTATACAGCTCAACAACACTGATGAGGAGAGGACCCCTTCAGGACTGCTCAAAACAATAATACATTTTGGACTACAGCCTACGTGTCCTAATACATACATTGCGCTACAGATTTTTCTCACTCTACCGGTCAGTAACTGTGAGGGAGAACGCTCATTCTCTCTTTTGTCAAGAGTAAAAAATGAGCTGCGCACAAGAATGACTCAGAAAAGATTAAATGCGTTATCTCTAATGGCAATTGAGAGTGAGCTGACAAGAGAGTTGGACTTCAATGATGTGGTGGATGAAAGCACGAAAGAAACCCCTTGCTTAAAGGTGCACTGTGTAAGATTTTTAGGTTATTTACAGAATTCACCCATTCACTAATGTTAGGCTAACTGTTTTCATGAATACTTACCACCACCATAAAATTCTAAGTATCCATTATGACTTGGAGAATTGCACTTTCGCCATTTCTGGGAAGTGTCACCTGGATTGTGAAGATAGGATTGACTTTAGGCAGAAGCTTGGTGCTTTCTCTGGCAAACTGAACCTCAAGCTTCATTCTCTGCAGCTTTGCATTCTTGTGCAGACTTTCATCCACAAGGAACTTTTCAACTTCCCCACTATCGTGAAGGGGCCATCAAAAGATTTCAGTGTGTCCAGCATGTCTAGTCTCTTACTCTCCTTTCTTTGAGCCATCTCTTGTTTCTCATCTGCCCTACTCTCGAATTTTGCCTTCATGAATTTACTCCAGTTAAGTTCAACCTCCCTTTTTGCTTGTGCTGCTGCCTTGAAACCTCTGAAGCTCCTGGCACTTCTGTAAAATTATTGACCTATTGACTGCGTTCAGTGTGCCCAACTTCTTCAGTTTGTAGTCCACCTTGCCACATTGTCTCTCCATCCCAATGTTGTGCACAGGGGTGCCATCAATGTTACTAGCCTGTTCACTGACAGGGTCCATTGGGAAGGTCTCCTCATCCATCCTCTGCCTGGCCAGGACAGTCTTCAGATGGGGCAGCATGAGATCTGTCAGCTGCTTCACTTCATCCAAGTATTCGGCAGCCACGTCTGACACTGAGTTCAGGACATGTCCAGTGCCTGTCCAGCCACTATAGCATTCTTGGAAATGGGCTATCTTGACCTGCATGCAGCCCTTGTACCATGAACTGGCCTACACCTTTCTTTGTGGTGCTCTCCGATGCATGTTATCATTTTACCTTTCTCCTTCTCCTCAAGCTTAACCACAAATAGATACAGACTTTGAGCCTCAATTTGCTGCACAGCTGCCGTTATGCCAAAGTGTTTTCCTAAGATATTATTTTATTTTTAATGATAGAAGGGAGGAAAAGGGGGCAAAAATCATGTCCGATTTAGTTTTTTGGGTGGGGTGGGGGGTTTATTTCATGATAGCTACCAACTTCCAATACATAATATCTCTCAAATGACCCAATGCACCATCACTGAAGTGGGCATAATCATTTTCCAAAATGTTTATTTTTAGGCCATTTATCCCCTCCCCCTGTGTCTGTGTGAAACCTGTGCTTGTCAGTGTCTGTGTGGTATACCTAATAGCGTGTGTGCAGTATGTGCACTCTTCTGTACAGGACAGTGTGCATGTCTGTTCACAGTATACAGTATTTCTTGCATAGTGCGTGCGTGTGTGTGCGCCCGCACGCGCGGGGGGTTGAGGGGCCAAGTCCATGTCAGGCCCAGGGGGCCAAAATTTCTTAATCCGCCCCTGACTCTAAGCAATTTAGAATGGAGCCCTATCCATCTGATCCCATTGGTTTGAATTCTGACTGTGTTGTTCTTATTTGCTAAGCTAAAAAATAGCTAAGAAACCCTCATTTAAATACATGGTGAACTTTAAAAAACATTACAAAACAGTGCCTGGTAGGTAGAGAGTAAAAGTAGTTCCATGACTATACAATGCCATTCTAATAGTCCTAAGATTGTTTTGCTTTTATATTTGAGGGGCCACTAAAGCGTGATACCGCTGCTGTTGGTGAGATATATCATGTTAATTTCCTCTTTTGACTGCTGAGCTACGTTCTGTTGTGCTTTTCAGACTATCTTGGTCGGAACTAAGTTATTTTTTCTGTGTTATCTTTAAGTTACTCTAATTGTCCAGAAGCACTTTAAACACAGCTTCTACTCCTGCACTTTTCTACTGTGCACTTGCCACATTCACATGTTTTTTTATTTCTGGTAGTAAGGTATAGCTAGTCAAGGCTAGCAATAACAGCATTGCCTCTCTCCCTCCCCTGACTCTTTTCCGACTCTTTTTAAATCTTCCTCTCCTCTCCTGCTCTCTGTGTTAGATGTTCAGTTATTCCTCTGCCTCCTTTAGAAATTATGGTATGTGTAATAAGTGTAGAATTTTTGTAGCTTTAGAGTCGAGGGTGTCATAGTTAAAGTCCAAACTGTTCAATATCCAGGAGTTAGAGAGGGCTGAATTTTTAACTGCCCAGAGACACCAAGACCAAGGATCTTTTGATAGAAAACACTCACTACATTCTGATAACATCATTAAGTCATCAAGTGACCGGCCTGCCACAATCAGGATATAACCCTGCTTGAAAATAGAACCGGAAAAAGTTTTGAAGCTGAAACAGGTTAGGATGAATGGTTACTCAAGCATCGTGCACCCACGATGCACCTCATCAGTTTAAGCTGCAACAAAAGTAAGTAAGCGATTATCTATGTGTTTGTGTGTATGCAAGTGCGTGTGCTGACACGGACTTATAACTAAGTACCTGCTGACAACAAAGGGATTTTCTATTCTATTCCTTTCTTCTGAAAACCTGGATGACTCTTAACTTTCTACTTCTGAACTAAGACAAAACAGAAGTTATAGTCTTTGGACGGGAGTCTTTGAAAAAGAAGCTGATTAGTCAGTCACTTCATTTGGATGGGATTAAATCAAAGGCATAACTTACTGAAGGAATTGTATGGACATGTCCCCAGCTATAATTTCCGCTTTCTTTCCCCTTTCCACTAATTTACTGTACTTTAGCCAAAGGTAACAGAGTTGGGTGCAGCTGTCTCTATTCAGAACGTTTTGAGTCAGTGTTTTTTTTTTCCCTTTCTCCCGCTGCTCTTGTGTACCGCATCTCATATAACATCATCAGATCTGTCGCTTGGAGACATCTGATTTGCAGTGGCATTTCACTGCGTACACAGTTGCTACGTGGTTGGAGGAGAGACACACAGCAGAACTCAGTGAATATTAACCGGCAGCTATTTCGATGTTTAAGTAAAAGTTAGGAGACAGGTTGGTTAAAAAAATTAGAGATCATACCACTGAAAAATCTGTTCATTAGTCATACAGAGCTTTTTCAGGTAAAAATGGCAACAGATTGTAAATTCAAGTTAGTAATATAATGCAAGAAGCTTGAAGCTTGTTCTTCTTAACTAGTTAAAAAAAAGCTTGGCTTCTTAGAGGACCATGGCTCCCAGTTACAGGTTAAAATGTTTTCTTATTGAACAGACAGAATCAGACTGCAGAGCTTCTACATATCTTGAAATTTAGTTTTTGGCATTATTATATTAATAAAGAGGTTCATAAATCTTTTTAAACAGGGCATAGAGAGAAAGAGAGCTGCAGACTTAAAGGTGACACAGATTTACTGGGATATGCAACATGCAATAAAATCTCCAAGTTTACAAGAAAGTTTACAAGAAAATAATATGCTATGCTATATTTAAAATCAGCATATCCATATTTTTCTGGATGGATAGATGGAGGGAATGGAAATTGTATCTCTAGGGCTGCATGATATATTGATTTTGGCAAAGTTACAAACTTGGATTAAATTTTACTTAGATAATAACGTAAAAAAATCTTTTTGTTATTTTTAGGTTTGTAGAATTTCCTTCTTTCATTTGCTGTATATTGCAAAAATAAGAAATATCTTGTACAGGGGTGATGCTGAAAAACTAGTCCATGCATTTGTTACTTCAGAGCTTGACTATCTCTATTCACCCAGTATTTATTTGTTCAATTCTTAGTTCTATAACGTTATCCTCTCTCTGCTTTTTATCGGCATAGTAGCTACATCTGGTCTGTTCCTGTTTGGCTGTGACACCAGAGAAATATCAGCTGTGCTGCTTGCATCAATGCCATTGTTTTGTAGATGTTGGAGCTCGGCCTGTTTTTCAGTGCAGTCCTGTTTTTTCTAACTGTGACCAACTGTATGTGCTCTCTTACATTCTCTAACATGGGAGCTGGCTTGGAGCTCATCTGCCTGGCTGTGTCTTTCCTGGACGGGGCTGCCTGTCAAGGTGGTTAACGGTTAAGTTTTGTGTATTTGCTTCTTTTTCTATGTCTGCTTCTATCTCCTTAAACCCCAGTTGGCCTCTGCAGATGGCTGCTCACACTGGAGATTTTCTCTTGTTAAAAGGAAGAAACTGTCGCTACAAGCGTGCCTGGTGTAAGGAATTGCCGTTAAGACTATAAGTTGAGGCAATCAACTGGTTTTCCATATAATACTTTGAACCAGTCTGACTGTATGTTCTAGTTGAATTGTGTCTGTAAAGGGCCTTGAGGTGACATTTGTTGTAAATTAGTGCTATATAAATAAACTGAATTGAATTCAATATATCCATAACAACCAAA